GTTTTGGTAAGGGGCCACAATAATCAACCACAATGTATATCGACAAAATAAAATTAAAAAATAAGATGTTAATTTGAGTTATTTAATAGCATACTTCTAAAACGTAATTGCATTGGAATAAAGGGTAGGAAAGAGAGAAAATAAAATTATATGGTTGATGTTATGAGCTACAATTTAGCTTTAGGAACTTACAGCCTTTGGCATGGTCTAAATGTATGTTAGGGCTACATAATGAGGGGTTTTCTAGGACTTAGGTCAGCCCTAGACTCTGGGACCTACAGTAATTTAAACCCAGGCCCTTTCATTTCTAAGTGTGTGTTTCCTTTCTATTAAGCAGCCAACAGCGACTTTACCCCTGGCTGGAAAGTGATGCTGTGGTGGCCTCGAGCATTGTGGAGTTGTTCACTGACTGTATTGACTCACTGCACAAGAGTTTTAAAGGTAGGACGATGTCACGTATGTCTCTGGTTAGTTTTCTGTTTTCCCCCAAGTCATTCAGTCAGTCTTTTGCCTCTGCTTTCCTACTGTATTTAATTTTATTTTAGTTGACAGGCAGTTATCTGTGACTAAAGAAAGGTCACTGATAGAATAATTTAGTGTTAAGTTTGTAACCTCTTTTTTGTGAGGTCGCTCTGAGTTTGTCAGTTATGGAAAATTTGCAGCCTTTCTCTCTTCATATATTGCCTGTCCTATGTGATAAACTTCATCCATGACTCTTAACCTCTTTTTTTGCATTTTCTACGTTTCTGTACTTCAACTTGGGTAATTTCTTGAAGTCTCGCTTCTAGTTACTTAGTCTTCCTCTCCAGGTATGTCTAATGTGTTTAACATATACCCACTTAATTTTTCATTTCAGTGATTATATTTTCCATTTTTAGAAGATCTGTTTTTAAAATCTACCCTGATCCTTTTTGGTAGCATCTTCTTTCTTTCTTTTGTTTAAAATTCTAATTTTTATTTCTTTAAAATGTTTAAATGTGTTTAGCTTGTGATCCAAATACAATAATTCCATTATCTGAAGTTCTTATTGGGAGGTCCCTTATGTTCCTGTTTGATGTTCCTTCTGACTCTTACTCTTGGAGGCTTGTTTCGTTGTGTTGTTTTGTAATTTTTTATTGTGAGCCCATATTTAGAGAGAGTTTACTTATGGAAATCCCTGTAAGGCCCAGGCTGTGTATGTGAAGGCCTCCCGAGAAGATCTGTATTTGTTGTCAATTGGAACTACTTAATTTCTTGGTTTGGAGTTTCCCATACTACAAGTTATATGAACTCGAATCCCAGACTCACAGGCTGGCCTCAATTCTCACA